GATAGGTACCTAAAATTATTATAGTTTCAATAAAGGTTTACTATCGTAGTTAGGTGATGGAACAACAGAGGTTACACCATAGTATTATCACAAAATTCTGTGGTATTATTTCTATGGGTTACACGGAACAAACGAAGAAAAATTCAAATTTACCGCTCTATCACGAAGTGTTTATTTCTTTATTTTAGGTTAAGTGTTGACATCGTGCGAAATTTTGTGCAAATTCTTCCGTGTTTTTTGGAAAAATAATTAAAAGATAAGGTAATTTTTATCTGATAGGGATGGCAAATAACTTTTAGTAACCTAAACAATCACCACAAACAATTTGTTAGTGTTTTTTTTAAACAGTTGCTTTTTGCATGGATTTTTAGGGTTATTTGGACGATGCCTTATGTAAAATAAGTTTTGTTCTGTGACGATGCCTTAAAAGCATAAACATGTTCCTGGAACAGTGTATCAAAGAAATTATCACCCAGAAAATATTGAATTGGCCGTGGCAGCGGTGATAAACAATCGTCTATCCTTTGGGTAGATTGCAAGTGTAATGATTACATCTGCCACAGATGATCTGCGGATAATGGATAATCTTTTGCAAGACAAGAGACAAAAGAGTGCAGTCATATCTAAACCACAAAGCAGTGATAATTAGTTGTCTTAAAGAAAACCTTCCTGGCAATGACTGGCTAAATTCTTTCCGGAGGCAAAAATTGTGATTACTCAAAGGAATGCTAAAAATCTAAAAAGATCCAGATCCGAAGTTCATGATGATGTGATAAACCAATATTTTTTCAGAAGTAAAGGAAATAAGGGATGCTTTGCCAGCACCTGGTTACCCAGGGAAACAACAAAATGTTGTGAAAAAAGGAAACTCAGAATATTAAACTATTTTTCAACTTTTCTAATGTTTGCTGACACTGGAGGAGATCATTTACCATTGTGTGTTGGTTACCAGCCAAATCTATTAGATTTTTTTTAACAATCAAAGGTTCTTAATAATTTTTATATTAATAAATTATATCCATATGTAAATCAATTTTAGGTCACAATCTTTTGCATTTAATAAATAAATTTGTATACTATACAAAATCAATTTTAAAACTTTCAAGTGTATAAAAAAATATAGGCAAAAATACTATTTTTGCTTGTATTTTTTCCTTTTAATGCTTGTGCTCTAAATTTTTATTCAAAAGCAAAAATCCTCACATTTTTTCTTATATATTCGTAATTGCTAAAATTTATTTTGCCAAGCATCAAAACCCTTAATGAAAATTAAAAATTTGTGACTTTAAACTCACCTTCATTGTTAATTGTTTTATTTAGACTTATATTTTAACTAGGTAACTACTTAAATTTCTTTGACTTTTTATTTTTGTTGCTAATTTATAATTTGTTTAATCCTTTATTTAGAAAATTTGTAATAATTGTTAATAGGCAATATTTCTTCTCTTTAAAATACCAGCATTGTTATTTTTTTTAGGCCATGTTTTAAGTTATGTTACTTATATTTGAATTTTTCTAGTTAATATTTAAATAGGATTTTTTAGATTTTTATTAATATTGATTTAAAAGTTGTAGTATCTTGTATCTAGAAAATTGTTAATACCTATATGAATATAGGCAATAGTTTTTCTTTTCAAAATACCATTGAAAATTTTTTGTCTAAGCTATTTTGTTATATTTTTATTTGTTTACTTTAAGTATATAATATTATATTAATAATATTTTTTAGATTTTGTTAATTGGGTATTTTTAATTAATTTTAATATTGATTTAAAAGTTGTAGTATCTTGTATAGAAAATTGTTATATATATATATAGGCAATATTTTTTCTTTTTAAAATACCATTGTAAATTTTTTGTTAAAGCTATTTTGTTATAATTTAATTTGTTTACTTTAAGTATAATATTATTAGATAATATTTTTTAGATTTTGTTAATTGGGAATTTTTTTTCCAAAGTATTTTTTTTGTACAATAAATTTTTGTTGTTTTTAAATATATATTAAATTTTCCAATAATAAAGAAAAATCCTACCCAAATTTATAAAAAAATCCAACGTTTTATGATACAATAATCCCACGTATTTCCAACGTTTTATAATACACAAAACCCACATATTTCCCACGTTGTATAATACACAAATCCCACGTATTTGCAACGTTTTATAATACATAAAAGCAACGTTGTATAATACACAAAACCCACGTATCTGCAACGTTTTATAATACGTAAATCCCACGTTTTTTATAACATTAAAAACTAACGTTGTCAGATAACGTTATAAACCGGGACATTTCAACATAAAATTATACATAAAAGTTAGGTTTTGCCAACGTGGGAAAAACGTTGTTTCTACGTAAAATTTCTACTAGGGTATCGTACATGTTGCAATGACACTAAGTGACCTTTTAAATACACATTGACAAATTGTGGCTTTATGGCGCTTTAGTCACAGGCTGAAGTTAGCAACAGGTTTTTAGTCACGGGCTGAAGTTGGTTGTAAGTTAGTTGACAGTTATCAAATGTCAAACAATCGTTAAAATAAAGTGGCTTTCTTGTAAAATAATACTAAATGTGAAAATTATTTTATTATCTCATATAATCTTTTCAAATATTGGCGTCAAGAAACTGTTTAATACTCTTGTATTTTTGTATTGCAATACAATTTTTTTCCCCAAAAATACAAGAATATTATATAGTTTCTTGGCGCCAATATTTGAAAAGATTATATGAACGTTTGTACTGACTTTTTACTGATTTTACTGATAAACGTTAAACATTTTGCGTACAGTGTCCATAAAACAATCTCTTCTCTTTTGTGAAAAACTGCCTCTACATCGATTGTTACTCTATTTTCAAGGGATAAATTTTGATTTACACAGAAAAATTTTTCCGTGGAAGAATTTTTAATACTTTGTGCTAATATTTTGCAATTATGGTAATAAAAAAATAAAAGGATAACATATTTTCTGAACATAATAATATTTTAAAGTATCAATAACAGTTATTGTTAAGTTTAATTAAAATTATAATTAAAATTATATTATCATTTAAATTATTTTTTAGGTAATATTAAGTATTTGTCGTAGAAAAAGTATAGTATGCAACTCGTTTATAAACTTTTCTAGGCACACATTTAATTAAGCACTCGCTCGCAAGCTCGCTCGAGCCTAAATTAAATTCATGACTAAAATAGCGTTTATTAAATATATAATACATATATATATATATAATACATAATGTACTGTTACATATCTTATATAATAATAGTCATAATAAAATACATAATAATAAATATAATAATATCATAATATTTTTTATTATTTTACTTATTAAAACAATTTTATAATAATCATTACAAGCTGTTAACCCGCGGCCTTAAGGTAATGTTATTAAATACTTTAAAAAATGGCGGAGGCGCCGGGAGTAAATGCATTTTAAAGTGTCCTAATTTACCGCCTTACGGATGAGTATTATTTTTCTTAATTGCGTTCAAGATACGTACGGGAGCCCGGGAAATACGTACGAAAAATTTGGTGACTATATGTCAAACAGTGCTTTAAGGACAAAAAAACGGGACTGGGTTTTAGTTATAGTCCAGTGGTATTAAGTAATAATTTTTAAACCAATATGAATTTTTTTAATAAATAAATATCATAATAAATGTGTACATTAGATGCAAAACTTGGTTTATGCAAATTTTTAAAAATATATATTTTATTCTATTTATGGACATTACTGCACTGCCTACAGCATACCCAAGTAAACCAGATGTATAAGTTAGTATTTGTAGAATAAAATAAATTTAAAAACTTAACGCAGATGCAAAACTGGGTATTTGTTTCTTCCTGTCGGATGCAAAACTCGGTATTTATTGTTGACCAATCACGTCGCTAGCAGTGGCGTATTTAGGGGGGGGGGTCCGCCGGGTCCGGACCCCCCCCGGGCGCACATATTTTATTATTTTTATTACAAAAAAAGTTCCTTTTATTTACTATTTTCTCGGATCAGAAGAGATCCTAATTTGTGATTTTTTAGTTATTAAAGCATAGCATAGTATAGTATTTAGGATTTAGCTTCAGGGGGGTCCAAAAAAACTAACTAAATATGTATACATATTTAGTTAGTTTTTTTGGACCCCCCCCCGGAGCTAAATCCTAAATACGCCACTGGTCGCTAGTATACGCATTACGTGACGACATAACAATTACCTGATTAATTGTTATTTTTTGGTATTTGCACTTTTCACTTGCAAAACTTGGTCTTTGAACGAGGAAGATGGAAAACTATGTTTTTAAATCTTTTGATTACAATTATTTACTAAAATACCTAATTTTAATGGATTTTTTTTTACTTTTTCAAATAAAAATGATGCAAAAGCACGTCTATACAATATTTTCATTTTTTTTTTCAAAAATGATCTTATGAGCGGTTTTTCATGTTTTTCTTAAGCCGGATTTTTAGTTCTAAAAAGTAGGAGTAGGAGTAGCAGTAAACCAGTGTTGCCAATATAATAATATAAATGCTGCAATGTGAATGGCTGGAGTAGCGTTCAGTAGCAACTAAGGTCGTTGGCGTAAGAGATGGCCAAGTTTTAACTTTTCTTGCTGCTACTCCTACTCCAGCCAATTACATTGCAGACATTTATGAAGACATTTTATTTTATTATTATATTGGTAACACTGGCTTACTGCTACTGCTACTCCTACTTTTTAGAACTATAAATCCGGCTTTAAAATCACTTATCCTGCAAATACAGAGTTGTGCATCTAATGTACTCATATATCAGATTGACAGACAATATTATTGATTATTAAGTATAAACTTCAAAATTAACTGTCCATATACATGTTTTTAGTTTTGAATGAATATATAACAATGCAAAATACTCGTATATATACCATATATGCCAAGGATAAACTAATGTACTCTACCATAAACATGCAATAGCCTAGGGCACTATAGCAAAAACCGCTTTTTTATAATATCTTTTATAGTTATTTTTATTACCAGATGCGAAAGTTTACTTATAGTGGCGAGGTCCTAATAAAAAAATATTAATTATGTCACCTAATTTATGTATTATAAATGATAATTATATTTTAGACTTTATAGTATGATGTGACACAAAAAAATGTAATTTTAATGGTAATATAACAATTTAATCAACATGGCGAAGAGTCATAAAAAAGAAAAAGCTGATGAAAATCAAAATTGTAAGTAGCGCGTTCACCATTTTTGCAAATTCGGAAAAGTGTTTTATAAATAATTCTTGTAGATTTCTCCGCCGAAAAATTCGTCAATGATTTACTGGCCCGTGCTGAAGTACCATGTGATAAAGGATCAAAATCATTCGATGAACATACCCAAGTCCCTCCGTATTACAATGAAGAACTGTACAAAAGGTAAAATAACAGAATATAAATAACATAGGTCTACAAAAGTTAAGGGTCAATGATTGACCCTTAACTTTTGTCAATCCAGGGCCGTTCCTGGCGAGCGTGCAGTGCGTGCACGCACGCAGGCGCAACATTTTGGGGGCGCAAAATCAAAGAGTCAATCAGTACTTTGTAACGATAAACTTTCTTGCAAATTAACAAATACTTAAACATACATCGGATAAAGGTTACTGCCTTTATTTGCGTCGGGCGCATTAAAGCCCTATGCCGCTCTTTTTTTCGGCCGCTACAGCGCCTTTTGCCGCTTTGATATTGAAGGCTTAATTTTTGTTATATGAGTATCAAAATAAAAGGAGAGAAGTTGTCATAATATTTTTTTCTACAACCAAGCGCAATGTGGCATTGCCGCTCTCGCGAGATAGCCGCGCTCTGCTAAGCGTCGCGCGTCAAACTTCTCCCTCAGAGCAATAATATATCACTTTGCGCACTTAATATCAAATAGCTATAGTATTTGTTTGATAGTTGCAGTTGACGGAAGCAAAGTTTAACAGTCGTTTACACAGTGCATGACTGCTTACTCTCTAAAATTGAATAATAATTATCGCCAACAGCAATTTGTATCCCGGATATTTAACAGTCAACTCCTATGTAAAATTGTCGTCAAAAGTGATAAAAGTAAAACAGTTTTTGAGATATAGTCTATTTTCCATATAATACGGAATTAAATATATTTCAAAAACTCTTTTCCGATTTAGGGGACAATTTTATAAAATGTATACATAATAATAAGCTGTTATGTCTGGAATACAAATTGCTGTGGACTACAGGGGCAAGATAAATATTTTTTTGTCCCGTCCACACCTTTCAATTATTACAATTATCTCTACTTTTATAAAATATTTCTTGCGTTTTTTTATTTAATGTATAGCCTAATAAAAGATGAATATTTTTTACAATTTTGATTCCAAAATATTATATAATAAATTATCTACAATTTTTTTTATAAAAACAGTTTTGTAATTCATGCGTTTTTGCGCGCCTGAAATTATGTTTTTTTTTTTGTTTTCTTTAGAGTATTTTTATTACTAAATATTTTTTGTGATTTTGTTTGTTTGTTAATTTAATAAGCAGTTTTTTTACATTTTTAATTAAGTACATATAACAGTTTGTAGCAAATTATATATTTTTTAAATTTTAGGGCTTTAAATTAAAATATTTAATGTATAATATTTAAATATAAAAGGGGCGCACCGAAGAATGCTGCACGCAGGCGCCAGACACCCCAGGAACAGGCCTGGGTCAATCCATATCAAATCAACCAATTTAATTTAAAAAGGTTTTATCTATGTTTTTACTACTCAGAGAGTTGAAAATAGGTATTCATTAGTTTTTAGATACATGTTCATTTTTTTTTGTGAGTGGTCATTTTGTATTGGTGCGTCAGCCTATTTTGCATTTTACAGAGGTTTGGGTTAAACTCTGTAGCTTCATGATTTTTAAAGTTATTTACTTTAAAGAAAAAACACGTTAAAGAGCATGAAAACAATATTTTTAGTCCAGTATTTATTGGCGCATTTAATATTACCTAATTAAACAAACAAAAAATAGATTTTCGAAATAAAAACTTTTTATTTTACAATTAAAAACTTTAAAGTAAAACTAAGAATCATTTTTTATATAGTTTTTAAATACTTTACTAAAAAGTATGTATACATACCCATTAAATACTATAGTATTTAATGGGTCTTTAAATATTACAATTCATCTAAATCGGATACATTCTTTTATGGCGTTGTTATAAGTGGTAACAATTTTATTACTAACCCTGATAGCAAAATTTGATTCTAAGAATCTTCTAAGAAGATATGACTCGGAATAATGGAATATTCTTAGAACCTTCCCTTATTGCTAAGAATGTTCTTAAGGACTTTTAAAACATTCAATAGATACCCTTTTAATGATGCAATTACATTCTTAGAAGCTTCTTAAAACCTTCCTAAAAAGCAATCTAAGAACATTTTAAGAATACGCTTTTGGAATGTTCTTAGAAAGTTTCTTATGGAGCTTCTACTAGAAGCTCCATAAGAAACTTAGAAGCCTTCTAGGAAGCTTTTGAGAATATTTCCAAATATGTCAGATACCCACGTTCTAATATGTTGTATTCTACATTCGTAAAATTCTTCAGGAGACAAATATGCCTCACTGGCATAATACGACAGTGAAATGTATTTGTCGTCCCCTTAAATTTTGCGACATATTAATATATATTTATTTAAAAATATTAAATAAACAATTTGACCTCTAAACCATAAGTTGTATGACATTATTTCATAAAAAGTAAAATTGGAAAATTTTGTGGGATAAGTCAGATTTATGGAACGCCGTTTTACTTTTTATTAAACCCAGCACCCTGTGCATCATTTAAAGTGTTTTAAAAATATCTTGCTTATTTTAATGAAACATGAATTAATTTGAATTTATTTATATTCTAGTTGTATTTAAATGAAACGTGAATTTCAATGTTAGTTGAATTTCCATGACATATGAATTAAAATGGTTTGGGTATTTCCATGGTACCCGAATTAAAATTGTTTTTAAAAGTTTTTGCACGTATTTTCATTATCGGAACTAGCACCACCTAGCGAGCGCGTTCAGATTGCAGGCTGGTCGTAGACGAGGCGTTAAAATCCGAAATGTATTCCACTTTGTGACGTCACACACTGTAAATCGGTATTATTTTTCGAGCGATAGGTTTATTACAATAAGCTCGGTAGCTCGATGGAAGGGCGCCTGCTTTGCATGCGAGAGATACGGGGTTCGATACTTGGCGCCTCTACAACTTTTTTTAATTTTTTTTTAAAGAATTTATATACCGAAATAATACAATGTGGCCTTAAAAGCATTTATATTTAATTTTACATTAATATTTTAATTTATTTACCTTTCCCCATAATCATTTTGCTAGTTATATAATATATTTTTACTCAATGGGGTGGGGGGGGGGCAATGGGGCGGGGTCGGTTGGGTTGTGTTGTTGGGTTTGGGTTGGTTTCGAAGCGGGCGGACTCGGGACGTTGGTTAAGGAAAAAAGATCTGCTTACCGTCCTAAGATTGCGTCATTGGATGACGTCACTCTGTTAACGGGAGCGCAATAGAGAGACGACACTAAAAATCACGGAAACCTCGGAAGTATTCGGCTGTTTACGGAGAGCTTCGGCGGCTGACGACGTCATTCATTTCAAATTAATGAATCATTTGCGCCAAAAACGAAAAAACGGTTATTTCATAACCTCAAATTGATGTTATTGCTTTTATTCGTTTTGTTTATTCAGAAAGTAAATCTCTGTTTATTACAAGGCTTTGTTTATTATAAGACTATTTTTTTTATTAGTAAATGTGTTTTAAAATCCAGAGAGGTCTGACAATAATTATTGGCGATTCCCGTGTTATTAGGCACTGTTGTGTACTTATAATAAACTGGAAAAACATTTGGAGGTAAACCATAAAATAAAAATAGAAATGCATACTTACATATAATTTTGCAACGAGAGAAAGTTATGAACTGTGGTTTGATCAACAGAAAATTGAGACAACTTATGCATCGGCCAGATCAAAAAGATCTAATGATTATTTAGAAAAATCCTACACTTGCAATTGTAGTAATTCAATAGGTAAAATATTAAGTTCACCTTTTATTACTTTATTTTACAAAATATTTCTGTTATCCTCAGGACATCCCACTGAACATTATGGATGTGGTGATGTCACATGTGCAGTGACGTTTAAAAATTGTCAATTTTAAGGCACATTAACTACGTTCTTTAGTGATGTTCAATTTACGTAAAAATTACGCTAAAAAATAAAAGGTGCTGTCGAGCACGTCACTATACCCACAATCCACATGGATTGTGACTATACCGTCCAGTCTATGACTTTTATTTTACTTTAGCGTATTAGGTGCAAAACACAACGTACATTTTACGTCACCAATGTGACACATGATAAATATGAATGTGATAGGTTTGCCAATGATGAACATTAAAATATATGCCACATTTACATTTTTGTTGGAAATTTGAGTGTATACTTAGATAATTAAATACCAAATTTAATTCATAATTTTAGATTAAACCCAAGGTAGGTACTTACTTAGAAACCAATGTAAGTAGGTACAATTATTATTTTAATGACTTAATATAAATCCCAGAGTGATTTATTAATTAATATTACCGCTTATAAAATAATAATTATTCTCGCATAGTGAGATTAAGAATTTCTTACGTTTAACGTATATTTTATGTAAAATTTACGTAAAAAAGGACTCGGGTAATTTCGTTTCCAGTCGATATATCGGTATAAAAGGGGCCCTGTAACAGGCATACTCTGTTTGCGTTGCGACTGCCATTGTTCTGTGTTCAACACAGTGTGTTGCCATTTGTTGCTGTGTGATAGAAAACGCATTGTTCTCCATAGGCGAGACTGAACGGTTTAGGCATATACCTATAACTTATAGGTATATGGGTTTAGGTAAGTTGGCTTTATTATTTGTTTGCAACCATACAGTTATAATATAATTAATTAATTGTCCCAATATCGCCATGATGGAGCTATTAGTGGTTATCGAATTTTGTTGATTTAAATGTTAGCGTTGAGTGAGAAGTAATATTAATCAATGCTGTTAGACTTAAAGAAAAGTCTTTTAATCAATTTGATTTTTCAGTTAATACACCAGTGAACATGGGAGACAAATTTTGCGCCGAGCGACAGGCAAGTTATATAAGTTTTATATACTTAATTACTTAGATAACTTAAGTTATTAATGTTTGTTTTAGAAGCTACTGGCTAGCCAGTATGAAATTATTTCGTCTGACTGAAAGTGATTTCGATAAAGAGAGCAAGGAGTTGTTCCAAACCGCCAAGCAACGCTCATAACGTTTTTTGGCCAAATTTGGACATGAGAATGAGACCGAAAATTAATTAGGCGGTATGTTTTATTTTTATTATTT